CATTAGTAGCGTTCGCTGCCTCGCCTTCGAAAACGGTACACAATTCTACATCTGTTTCGAGCTTCATTTGTTGGTTGAGGACTCAATGTTGCAGATAACAGTGCACTGCTGGAGCAATAAGTTGCGTTGTCGCAAGTGCCGCTTTGTCGTACTTTTATCCTTGATTCCTAGAACGATCCGATGGCGTATGAGACTGTCGCCAAACCATGTACCACAATTACAGGATCGGTCCAAAATCTTCCATTCCGTGATGTACGCGTCAACTGATCCGTTTGAGCCTCCATTGTCAGAAATGAAATGACGGCACTGGTAGATCTCGTTGGGTTGACCTTCACAAAATTCACCGAACTTTCCAATGGCCGTCTCCAGGTTATTCGGATCTTCGCCTCTGTCGTAATGCAATGTCTCTAGAACACGGCGCGCGTCATTCCTGGCTGCTTTTTGAAAAATGACCGAGCGATACGCCATCGGTTGTTCGTCCAAACGTACTAATTTGCAGAAATTTTCCCGCTTGCTCTTCCATAGACGCTAATTACTCGCCAAGTTCCGTTCGTCCATGTTCAGTGGGGCGCGCTGCCAGTGGGGTTCGTTCTTCTCTTCTCTGAAGCCATGTTGTAGAACTCAGTCCTTCAGGGACAGGCGTTTATTCGGCAAAGACAACTCAGCGAAAATCGCAACGTGTTTGGGAAGCAAAGCTCTTAGATATAAATTGCAGGTTCAATTCCATAACTCACGACCCTTCTGAATCAATGATATTCCTCCTTTGCTTCAGTTAAACAAACGGTGAATCACTCACACAAATATCGGCCAATTCGAGTCCAGTAATTGAATCTGTCACGTCAGCCTCTCATTGGCTATCTGGCTCGCTCGGTTGGTGCATCTGCTCACTCTGGTTGATAGTACCTACACAACCCACAGTACTTCGACTTATGAGTTGTCTTCCTTGCCTCTGCATGCACTACTATACACGGCAGAGAACCGTATATGTCAAAACTGAGCTGGTCGCTACCCGCGATCCAAAGAAGAGGTGCCGACTGATGCAAACTCAATCCTGGTACGGTTAGCAGCTCCCTGAGCCTGCACGCCACCGTTCAAGTCAACGCTGCGGATCGCAGAAAATTCGTCGACGTCTTTGCGAACGGTCAGTAGGTCCGATAGTGGTTGGACATTGCATCCGACATCACGATAATCTCCATGGTTTTCTCGCAATCCCTTGACAAGCCTCCCTTCCAACCGGCTTCCTAATCAGCTACCTGCGGCAGTGGTGGTCGGGTGCAGCTAACCGGATAGTTGCATTGCTCCGTTTCTTTTCGAGGTGACACATTCAACCAGACCTGCTATATTGCAAAGGCGAAGCTCAATCTACTTGTTCTCGGCTTACTCGCAACCCTTATCTTCGCTGATCTCCACCTTCGGGCTATCTGTAACGCGGTACCTTCTTCGTTGGTGCAAGCGACCAAACCGACAATATTATCCGACAGTTCGCCTCAGTGTTCCAGGATAGCTTTGACTGCTGTACACGCACGCGCACCGCGTTACAACTGGTACCTGGTGCGAAACATGTATTCCGTCCCAAAAGGCTTGTCTCATACGCAGCCCTATCCTTGGTTGATGCCGAACTCAAACGCTTGGAAGACATGGGCGTCCTGGTGCCTGTGTCCTATTCCGCTTAGAACCCACCGATAGTCGTGGTCAAGAAACCGAATGGGTCGCTTCGCATCTGCGCCGATTTCTCCACCAGTCTGAACGCTGCGCTAGAGCAAATTGCTGCGCACTACTGATCACAACTGACCTCTTCCTGATACTCAACGGGGGTACGTGTTTCGCCAAAATCGATCGGGCAGACGCCTACCTGCAGCTCGAAGTCGCCCCTGAGTCGCAAGCTCTTTTGAGGGCCAACGCACATCGTAATCTTTTCAGTACACCAGGTTCTCGTTTGGTGTCAAAACCGTTCTGGCCCTTTTCCAGCAGACGATAGAAGCTATTATCTCGGACGTTCCGGATACTGCCGCGTACCTGGACGATCTACTCATTTTTGGTGGCATCCCAGAAGAGCTTCGTGAGCGCCTGGTCCAGGTCCTTCAATATGTCTAGGAGCTTGGATTCCGCTTGAAAGCAGAGAAATGCCAATTCTTTCTTCCTCGATCAAATACATCAGGTTCGTTTTCAATGCCAGTGGCCGTCATCCTGATTCTGATAATGTCCGAGCCGTTCTGAAGTGGCCAACTCTAGTGGATGTGTCGAAATTGAGGTCCTTCCTAGGTCTCATAAGCTACGACAGTGCTTTACTGTCATTGCTATACGAG